GTGTTTTTATTAAAAATACGTTTTTCTCAAACCAGGTAAGTGGCAAGGTTTGTAAGCATTCAGCAAATAGCAGCTTAATCTAATCTTTGCTCAAAACTACATCCTTCTGTAGTGTTCCTTATCCCTAGAATATCTGATATTTATAGGATAAGCTTAAATGATCTCCTTATTTTCCTTTGACAGCTATTCTTTATACTCTCAATGCTTAGATACAGACCATTGTTGTCTATAAAGCATAGAGAAATAAGAAAAAAAATGTAGTGGGATACAGTCCTTTGATTATCATAAATCCATTCTCAATCCCAAAATAATTACACTTTTTATGTCAAAAGCTTTACAGATCTACCACCTCAAGCAATATCTTACAGCTGTCAAAAATGATTTATGCAATAATGACTTAAAGTCCAAAATGGAGTCCTCAAAGGAAGAGCTGTCAAACATTTTCACTACAAATAATATTATTAAAATAAGAATTGATATTCTGTATAAGCAATATTTTACGTTCAACTATTAAAGAGATCATATAGTTATATAACTTGTGGAAATGAAGTTGCGAAATAGAGAGGAACATAGTGTGCAGCTGCTTTGATATCAGAGTATAATTTTTGAATTAAACAGATGTTAGTGCCTTATGGGCAAGATTAAAAAAAATAATAATCTGTTCCAGAATAATAGTTCTTGAGTATTTATCTTTTATTTTTCATTAAAGGGATATTTACATAAAAAAAAAAAAAAAATCTACTGAGTCTTTAAACCCATGAGTAGTTCCAGTGAGGTCTTGTTGTATAATGACAAACTACGAATTTAAACCCTTAGTTTCAGCATCCATCTGTTCCTATTAACCATTTTTCTCAGTAATCATTAATATTTTTAATAGCTAAGTAATTGTCTACGGTGGCAATACTCCAACATGACAGGAGATTAGGATAACCTGAACAATCTGGATTGCAAAAGTAGACTTATAAAAGGAAAAATGTGTGAGAAGAAATTCAAGAAAAATGTAGGCTATATTAACAACATTATTCTGATAAAAATACTGCAATGGGAACTAGTAAGGCTGTTAGCTGCAAATGTTAAAAACTTCTGAGGATGAGGCATCAGTATGGTTGGGACAGGGCTTGCTGGTTGTGTCAGTAATTCACCATTCCACATTCAGGCTACCTGCACAATTCTGTGAAGCCATCACAAATATTCTTCCCCTCTTCTCTACAATTTCCCCATTTTGCATGTCCCTTGTGAGTAACATATTTCTAAAACTATATTCTTTTTTAACTATTGTCTGCTGTACTTAAAGCAATGTAGATTCAAACAGCCGCCATTTTCTGAAGATCGGCCTGCTGCCAAAATTCTCTCATTCTTCTGCCCCCTTCACACTTCTGTGTGTGACCTGGCCAAAAAATTAAAGCAATGAACAGCAGCATTCAATCTTGCATCATCAAGATGTTTAAAACTCAAAACCTTGCATTTTTTTTTTCATCTTGGAGGCTGTAGACAGTAGAGAATGTTAGAATCCTAACTCCTCATATGTATGAAATATTTTGCTTGTAAAAGAAGTTCCTTTTAAGTTGAAGTTTAAAGCTGAATCATTTTAAAACAATATTAGGTGGTATTTAGAAACTTAAAAGGAAAATAATTAGTTATATAATGATTCTCTTTTTGATCTCTGCTTGGTGGACTTCTAATGACAGTAATTTTGAAAGTGAGAGGATATATGATCCTACTCGTATTTGAAATACTAAAAAAAATGTTGCAAGCACTAAAATTTTAATATAATCAGCTGCTATACAAATGAAATGATGGTGTGGTGGGAAATAAGCTTTTATTTGCATTTGCATGTTTATTGAGGACTTTATAATAAAGCCTTCAGACACATCAGTAGTTACCACCTTAAGGCACTTGATACCTTCATAAGCTGTCTTTCTCATCTGTATGCTTAAGTATTATGTTAAGTACTGCGCAATGGATATCTATGAAATATATCTGCACGTAATGCCAAATCAAACTTTCAAGCAGCAGGCAGTTCATTGAAGGAACTTGGGTTATTTATGTTGAAAAAGTTACATGTCTAACTGTGCTGGTATTGAGCTCTTAAAATATTTTCATATTAGCTCACACTACACAATGGAAAATAAGCAACAAACCAGGCACTAAACTCTCAAATGTTTAGCAATTTTCTTAAATTCATTCTGCTTCAGAACCCAGAGAAAGTCGTTATTAGTTGTCATTGCTCTGTGTGTTTTTCTGTATAAAACACATTTCCAAATTTTAGATGAAAAGCAAAGTATATATTTTTGGTAATTTATAATAGCTATAGAGTATGCTTACCAAAATATATTATATCCATCACACAAGCAACTTAAATTTCTTAATACCACATAAGCTTCAGAACTTTTTCTCACATTTTCTACAGAGATTGAACATTATGTGTACCAAACAGAAAATTCTATATATACAAATGATCAAGCTGTCAGGGAGTTATGAATTTGAGTGCCAGACCTATCTTGTATCTTGTCAATTTTTAACTCTAATCAGTGACTCAATATTTTAAATGAAATTTAATTGTTCAAAAATTGTCGGTATTCATTTAAATTTAGCACAGCATATAGTGCACAATAAATGAATTTCACATTTTGACCAGTAAATTTTTAAAGAATGTGTCTAGAAATATTATCCATAGCTTTTTGAAAATACCTAGCCTTTGAACATATGGTTATTTAAATCCTTCAGTTTAAGGAAACTTTTCACAGAAGTGAAGTTATTGAAAACTCTTGTGCATGAAATTGTTTACAGTGAATAATCCATTTATAATGTACTTCAAAACTCAAAAATATTTACAAAGAGTACGGCAATTTTTGTGGACAGTTTTGCTTTGATTTGCCTCAAATAGATTATAGTGTGTTGTATGATGCCAAGACTCATCACATGTAGAAAAACACATATTAAGGTTAACCACTGGATAAACAGTACTTTAGTTAAGCACTTCCATATCCCTCAGTATTTTGGAAATCTGAAGCGCTATTAAACAACCAGATCTCAAAACAATGCTCCAGGCTTGTGGCTGTGAAAGTTAGCAATGACATTCTCCTTTTGCAATATTATTTTTAACACATGCCAAGTTAACATAAACACAGGCTAGAAGTGTACAGACACACAGTGTCATATCTCTTGATAAATCTATGTTCAAGGCACAACTACAACAATCAATCTTGAGAAAAATCTACTACAGACCACCTAAGCAGATTTAAGAATAAAGGACTCTATTACGAATATTTTAAGAAGAACATTAAATATTGGTAGTGTGGGCAGAGTGAGTGCCCTGAGTCCTATCTGAATTATACCTGCCCAAGCTAAAAATAATATTACGACTCTCCGAGATAACAACAGAATTACTAAGAACATGGTATAACTCTGTGACTTTAAAATATGAGAACATCCTTTGCATGTGATTCTAAAATTGATGCAAACAAAACACTGGCATTTCTCCAGAACTAATTTAAGCTCAGCATTTGAATATAAATTTCCTTTTCCTTCTCTCAAGAGCATATGCAGAGCAAGAGACAGAGTAAGATACACCACACATTCATTATTTGGATTTGTTTGAAGGACGAATGTTTCTGTAAATAACACTGGATAATGAGAAATAGAAAAAAGAGCCTAAACATAACTATTAGGTATCGTAGTTAGTTTTCATGGGTGTGCATTTTTTGGTCAGCAAATACAGTCATGTATTCATTTCATGCTCTTTTACTAGGTAGAAAGCATCAGCCAGGCATATTTAGCCACTCTTCCTTATATCAGCAATATTGTTAACAGATACTGTATCTCCACCAAAAACCAGGAACACTTCCTGTAGTTTAACCATTCACATTTTTCTTACTGCACCAACATAATTCTAGGACAACTTCTGGGTTCAAATATAGATACTCCAAATTCACAGTATTTCATCTCTTGAAAGGACATCTCTTTTTCTTTATAAGCTGATACTTTCTACATTATAGGTCAATTTTTTTTTGCTACTTTCAAGCCAGATGTGTTTTTCCAAGTAAAATACTGCATTCAAATCATGCAGTTGCATTGTGTGAGGCTGGCAGAATTAAGACCTGAAACTCATATGTCATTTTTATTTTCTATGATCTCAAATAGTTCATAAAAATTAACAGTCACAGGATTCCTGCTTCCTGTATCTTTGCACTGTTGTAGGGTTGTTTACTATAGGAAATTCACACCAAATTTAAACCTAGAAAACTTTTGTTCAGCAGTCGCAGATGCAGTGCTAACCTCATTCAACTGTTACTGTCAGAATACACTGATATACTCTGTGCACCCACTATCAAGGAAAATTCCCTTAATACTATGCTGAAGTGTACTTCACTGGACTTCAAAGGAATTATACCACTACTCCAGGGAAAGGTTTGGCCAGCAGACCAGACATGATTTTACCACATAACGAAATACACAAGTCTTGACAATAAAAACAGACTTTACCATCTTTGTGATAGTAGGTGACTTCCACTTTCCTCTCCTCTGACCCCAGCAGTGCTTGAGCAATTTGAGCAATATGATGTCTTTTGGTCTCTGGTCCATGAAGAAAATCACAGGTGCAAGGTTTCTGCATGACATCTGGCCTGGAGAACCCAGTCATCTCACAGAACCCATCATTGCAGTAGATGATAGCACAATTCTGCACTCTAGCATTAGCAATGATGAATTTTTTATCTGCAATAAAAGAAAGTGATGCATTTTTTAGTACTCTTTCAACTTTTCATAAAGTGTTGATTGCACGGATGGATGCTAAACAACCACTCTTTTCACTGGGATGCCTGAAATGCAGTGATTTTTCAGTCATTTTATGTATTTAATTTGATCCACACGTTTTAAAGCAACTTCAATAAATTTAGAGTACGTTAAAAGTGAAGATAGTTGTATTTTAAGGAAATAAAACCAGTCTGTGTGATTTTTCTCACAAAACTTCTCAACTTCAATTTTCTTTTCCTTTGTAGCTACAGTGAAACTTTGACGATGAGGAGGAAAGTGATGAACACGGTCCTGTCAGCCATGACTCCAGAGAAAGTCATTAAAAAGTTAGTATTTTTCTTTTTTTTGGCGGGTGAAGGGGATAGCTGTGCATAAGAAGGGAGGGAGTTCTACACAATTGTGGAACCTCCTGTGAAAAAGAACAACCAGCTGAGTCTATTAATTAGGGATTTTAATTGAGTTGAGTTTATAGTCATTCTTTTAGCAAAGCTATCTGGAAAAGAACGTGATAAATTTTTGTTTTCTGTTTGTGTTTTAAAGTTATACCTATAAAAGAAAATATTCCTTAGCAAGAACATGAAATTGAAGGCACATCAAGGCAAATCAAAGGTTGTGGCATTTGAAACATTTTTTCACAGTCCACTGAAGCTCTGTGCCTTAGTCCAGCACACTTTTTTAAAGGCTCACCTGGGAGAAAAGTTCAAAAGTTGTCATTTGACAGTTATTACATTTGTCATCGTTTACCACTATAACACACTACTCCTATTTTAATTATAAATGTACTGCTTTGATACATTTATTGTCAGTAATAGTTCCCTCTCTTTAGAAGGGACATGATACCAAGGTAGCAGTTGTTTATATTCAACATACATACTCTACAACATAAAAACTACTCAAGCAGCAACATTAACTTAGCATTTGGTTAAATTAGTACTACAAAGACTGTCTCTATTTTATTCTCAAATAAAATAAATATTGAATTGCTAATGTGTGTCTAAGTATAAGGAAGTACAGAAGCTAGAGTTAGCAGTAAGGGTTTGCAGTAGACTGATACTAACAATATGCTAAATATTTAAATAAATGTACATATATAAAACTACTGCTTCTAAATGAAATTCATTTTAAGCATCAAGTGTTCCTTCTTACTGTTAACAGTAAACCAGAGTTCCAGCCAGGAAAACCACTTCAGCTTCAGCCTCCTTGACAGGTAGCAAACCGCTGCATTGGAAAAGATCTCAGAGACTCCCTGAGGATGCATTTGCACTGGTCTGATGGATATTTCAGGCTTCCATAAACAAAGCAAATATTTGACAGCTATATTAAAATGCAGTCATGACGATAAGGTAAGAATATTTTCCATTTAATATCTCCTTTGCATATTATTTGTTTCCTCTTAATCAAAGTCTGCTTGTTCTGCTGTGTTTTGAAAAGACACTGATAATTATTATTAATAATAAAATCAATAAATCTAACCAATTTTCCCAAGATTGTATAGACAAGCAAGATTGTAAACTTTGCGTTACAGCCATCTTTCTAGTTGAGAAAAAAGGTAAGATAGAACTTCTGTAGTTATACAGTATAAATGCAATCAAAAATAAAAACTGTTAATAAAAATGGAAGGAAAAAAACAAACAAACAACAAAACAACACAATAATTCAAGTCAGTAATCTGCATTCTAGATCTAAAGCAGCGTTACTCCTGCAAGGGATCCCCTCCTCACCTCTGGGATTTTCTTTCCAAGTAACAAACTTAAAATAGTCTGGAGCTGCTGTCCATTTAGTCACAAGCAGAATCAAACTACTGTAGCAAAATAGATAGAAAGAGAGAACTTACTTTGCCCTTCAAATTTTCGTATGATTGTACCCAAAAATGTATTTTGTGGTGCCACATGGCCTCTGCGAACAGGCATGTTTGTACAGATCTTCGGCTTTCTGTGCACGAGGACTTCTCCAAGGATCTCCTACTCGGTTCCAGCTCTGAGCACCGAGCCAGCTACCCTTTGTGAGAAACCATCGTCCTCTGGAGCTCGGAAATCTCTTCCCATTAGCACCACTTCTAGACACACGCTTTTCCTATCGGAGTCAGATCCATCCCCCAGTTCTTTCTTTTTCTTTCTTTCTTTCCTTCCTTTCTTTCTTATTTTTTTCCCGGCGGACCGTGGACGCTATTGTCTGGGGCGGGTAGGGGTGGGGTAAAGCAGGAGGAGGTGGGGGAAAGATTACGAGGGTAATCGATCTCTAGCACCAAACATCGCCAATTTTCCAAAGCAAATGGCTGTGACCCGGCAGTTTCCGACGCTGTAGCAATGGTTAGAGGGCTGGAAGACTAATGTTGCTCCGCTGCCAGAGGGAGTGACGTTCCCCCCCTCCGGGTTTCACCACGGCGCGCAGCAGCTCGGATTACTCAAGCGTGGCTTAGCGAGAGCCAGCCAATAAATCTCTTCCAAACTCCGCGACAAACAGCGGCATCGGGAGAGAGCTACACCCGGCCCCGCCGCGACGTGCCGCCTCCCCCGCCGCCGCTGCAGGGGGAGCGAGGACCTGGGGCGGGGGGGGGCCCCGCTGCCTCCTCTGGCCCCAGCGGCTCCGCCCGGCCCCACCGCCCTTCTCTGGGCTCCCCAACGTCTGCACGCCCCGTCTGCGGGTGGGGGCGCTACTGGGGATCAATATGCAGAAAAGGGACCACCGAGGCCCTCGAGATCTGTTCCCGTCTTAATGAAAAGGCTCGTCCTTTCCTCCTGCAACGTGACCCGGGGGAGGTTTTCCCCACGCCCCCATCTTGGCGAGGAAGGGGGAACTCTTGCTGCCGGGGGCCGGGCCGCTGCCGTTGCCTCTAAGGCGCACCCCGCCCGCCGGCCCTGGGCGCCACTGTTAGAGGGCCGAGGCCGGGGGTCGGACCCGGGACGGGCGCTGTCCGTGGTCCTGAAACCGCCCGGCCGAAGATCGTGGAGGCGCCGCTGCCCGCAACTCCCCCCGCGACTCCCCTCCTCGCCCTCTCGGGTTCTGCCACCCCGCGCAGGAAGCTCACCAGGGAAGCGACTGTTATTTTAAGCTGTCATTAGGGCTCCCCACACTACCCAGCAGGCAGAACGGTATGTGTTCAGCACGGTGAGGTGATATGAGGAGAGAGCTGAGAGCAGCCATGCGGTGCTGGAAAGGCATCTTCAGGGCAGCAACGGATTCTTAATAAACTCACATGGAAAAAATAGCGGGGCACCTGCTCCCTTTTCTTTGTAATACGGAGCACAGGATATTGAGCCGGCAAACCACCGCCTCCCACCTGTTCTCCTACAGCATAAACAGGTGTTTCCTTATTCCCGTGGGTTTTTCTCAGGTGTTGCCTTTGTTTCACTGTTGGCGCGTCTTCCTCTGTATCTGTCAGGGGGGGATGCAGTCTGTTGAGTATGTGGACATATTTCTTAACTAATTTCATTTAATCTCAGTGGAATCATTCTGGATTTACACAACTGTAAATAATGTCTGAAAATAGCGCCTGTATGTACATAAATTGTCTTTAGAAGGCTGCATAGTAATTTACTGTATACTAATTATAAAGCCTCAGCTCCATTAAGTGGTGTGTAATCATGTACATAATCAATCATAGGAAGTGGGTGTTGCTCACTTACAGATGCAAATATTTTAATCCGTATATTCAGATATATAAATCAAAGGAATAACAACTATATGTATTGTTTGTAATAATAATATTTAAAGAAGTGTAACATTTTTACAACTTTCTGATCAATGCTGGAGAATGAAATTCTGAGAGAATTTTTACTTGATTTTAACATAGTGAAACGTGTATGAGGATGCAGGTTGATTTTTTTTAATCTTTCTGCTGTTTATCTTGACACCCACGCATTGCTCTGAAAATGTATTGAAGTTCCCAATAACAGCAGCAGAACTAGTGTACCTAAAGAGAGAGGAGCATACTTATTTTCATACTTGACATAATAACTAACATCTAGTCAAATCTTAAATGCCATCATTCTGATTTTTGTGTAAAGAAATGGTACCATTGTTTCTAAAACAGCAATAGAAAATAAACACAATAAAATTGTGACCTGTAGAAAACAACAAATGTGTACTTCCAGTAGTTAACAGTTTGTAGCAAACTATGTCAACTGAGGAAACCCTGTAGGTCAGTTGAGTCCGGAGTCCTTCAGGTGCTTGGCTGGCAATAAATAAATAAATAAATAAATACATAAATTCAGTAATTCAGACCTCACAGAAGCCCCATCTAAGATAACCCCAGTCAAAACAAGATAACTGCTGCTCAAAGATAAGATCTGAAATGTACTTTTTGATAGGGAATGAATTCACAAGAATGATGGGATATAATATCTACATGAGCAATAGGTGGCATCAAAAAATCTGTCAGCACCATGATTTATACCCCTACAGTCCTGTGGATGCTCTGTTGCTCTTGGAGTTTTTAATAGTTATTTTGCATAAAGCTTTACAATTTTCTGTAGTAAGCCAACAGTGAGAGAAGTGCAAGATGAAAATATCTTAAACTAGGCAATTTACTAATAGAGAGTAAAGTGATCATTTGAGAGAATTTACATTTGATTGGGAAATGTATGCATATAAGTGAAAATTTTGAATTCATCATAAATATGCCTCTCAACTGTGATAAAAGAAGAGGAGAATGCCACAGGGATCTTTGTTTTATCTCTGAAGTTGCGCAACTGCTAGCTCTGCAAGAGAGCAAAATACCGAGGGAGGGTGTCTCCTGAGCTAAGCTGTATCCAACATGAGTGTTTCTTTGTCCTCTGCCCCTCATGGCACTGCCCTAGCCACAGCCCAGCCGTGGCTCCCCAGTGAATACCACTGTTCCACAGCAAAACTGTATATGGCATTTATTGGACTCTATTGAAACAGAGATTTCAATGGTTTTGCTGACATTTTAACTACTTTCCTTTCAAGTTCCTTTGGAGAATTTACAGAGGTTTATCTCTGTAGATGTGCTATTGACCTATTTTGACATTTTAGCATTTAGCAATTAAACCTTTTATCTTGAGGAGAGGATAGCTCTGGGGAAATATCTCTGATCATATTTCCCATCAATTTGGTGAAAAAAAACCACCAAAAAATAAGTCATTCAGTTTCAGTTCGGTATTCTTATCATCCTTATCTATGCTTTTAACTCTTTGCTGCTCCAAGAGGCTCTCTAAGAGAAATGTTCTTTTCCAGCATAAATTATCTTTCTCTGTGTTCTGTTCTTTCTGTTTTATTGTTCTCCTGATTCTACAGCTTGCCCTCTTATAGACAGAAGTTTATTAGTGCAATCCCATTTGAATAAATACATCATATATATATACTACTAAGTCATGATAGTTCTTTTGTTTTTGTGTTTTTTGTTGTTGTTGTTTTTGCTTGTGGATGTTTTTCCATTTTTCCAGCTAGCAAACTAGCATGAGATAACTGTGTTGCTTTGACACCAACATATCATGTGTGAACTGTCATTTATTCATCCATCTGTGCCTCCAATTTTAAATAAGGCTGGGAATGTCTTCAGGGCTGTTGAATGAAATATTGAAACTTTATCTCAGTTCCATTTTGTACTAAGATGGCCTTTGTGATTCCTTGACTGATTTATGTTTCCTGATCAACACCTTGTGTTTTTTTTCTCTCTCTTTCTTCCTTATCTTTTTTTTTTTTTTTTTATTTAATGCTGTCTTTCTAAAATTTCAAGTTATAGCATTAGATTTTGTTTTAATTCCTCACAACAATAGTTATAATCAATTATATGATGACTGGCTAGGATTTAGGCACAGACAAAGTATGCAGTTACCTGGGGCAAGGGGCTGCCATATTACCTCTGTTGGAGAAGATAAATACAGTTGTTTGGACATAATGAGCAGCCAAACAGCAAATCTTTGCTGATGCTATTGAGATTATAGGGTGCATGTGGTGACAGTTGCAGCTGCCATAATTGGCTCCTTCTAAAAGCAACTTGTCTTTATTTACACTGTGGTGATACCCCTGGATAAGTATATATTACACCCACATAGCCTACATAACTGTCTAAATTGCAAAATGGAAATACTTCATTATTAATATTATTGCAAAATTCACTTTGAAATAGGTCTGATTATTTTATCTCGTGGTGTTGTTTTTTTTTTTTTTGTTTGTTTTGTTTTGTTTTGTTTTGTTTTGTTTGTTTTTCCATTTTGTTGCTCTGAAAGAAAAAGCTTCTATTTCTGACAAGGCTGCAGAAATGTAATTTATTATTCTATTTGGCCTTAAGGTTTACTTCTTCAATGTGTCTGCATTTAGATCTCATTAGTATTCAAGTTTTCAGCTGTCTCAATGAGAGGAAGGATATCAAGTTTTTAGT